GATGCCTATTTTTGTAATTTTTAATTTTTGTAAAACAAACTTAATTACTAAAAATTTTAGAATTAAATCCTACATGCAAAATGCGACATATTTTGTATTTTTATTAATTTAACAAATAAACATGCACAGACAAACACAAATAATTATCCAAAAATATCACAAAATCTCAAAAAATTGCACACCAAGAAAAATCATTTTATTTTGAATTTTTTGGGAGTAATTCTCATATAGGGCAAAAATCACGTGCTTACAATATCTAGAGAATATATTAAACTAATATGAAATGCATGGATGCGGTCAGCTGTCTTGTATACCCATTTGGTATACTTTATAAATGCACAAGTAGAAAATGCCGTCTTGTATACCCATTTGGTATACTTTATAAATGCACAAGTAGAAAATGCCGTGTTCGAAAGGAAACATCTGGGAGCAGAAGTATAGGAAGAGATTTAGGTAATTTCTTAACAAGCAACAATAACAAGAGACCCTCCCCACAGCTTCCATTTTAAGTTGTTTGAGCTTAATTCTTTCTAAGCAGGGATGGAGGTTAAAGATTGAACAAAGTATAGATTTAGAGCAATACTCTCATATTCAGTAGAAAAACAACACCAGCACAATTCCTTTGCACAACTTTGCTTGCTGTCTTGAGTGTATAAGATGTTCCTTATTCCAAAGCGTATGTACCACAATAATGATAAGCTAAGAGACTGCAAAAAGAACATATTATCTGTTGAAAAATTCTGGATTTTGCAAGGATTCCAAGGTCAAATTTACACACATAAATGAGGGTATACACAAACAGCTCATCAATGACAGGATTTTGAAGACACGACATAATTTAAGATTTTAAATGAAGAAGTACATGCTAAAGTCGTATATATTTCAAAACAAAGGTGCCTCAAGATCTGAAGATAAATTATATTTCACTCCAGTAGTTTGAAATATAGAAATCTATTACCTGAGAATTTTTTTTTCCTTAACACCAGTTCTCCATATTGAGAGCAGATTGTATAATTAAGAGCATAAAAAAAGCCACACCAGTTTAAGTTGTATTAAAAGTGAGCATAGATTTAATTCTTGACTACTTAAGTGATCCTCAAGCACCAATAGATTCATAGATTCCGGAATGTTGTTATTTGTGTTGCAATTGATTGATAATGTCATTCAAAATCATATAAAGATTTTCATGTGATAACTCAGATGCAATAAATTGTACTTTTTAGGTCTATTCAAACCAATAACAACCCTTTTCCAAACCCATATTTTTAATATTTCTTTACTTGTTGTCGTTATGCCTGTATTTGTAAATAATGATTCTGGAAATTAGAACGTTAGCTTATAAAACAATGCAGAACAAGGGAGGAAAACTCAGAAGTCGAATGGAAATTCTGAGAGAAAGGAATGCAAATTATAGCCAACGTTGAGTTTTCGGTGAAGAGAAGATCAATAGCTCTCAATTCTGTTTTGGTGTGAGATTCTCCAACTGCTGCTGCTCATATTTATAGCAGTCAGTTGTGAGACCCGCCCCCTCTCCATGGTGGAGCATGCACTAGCTTGTTATGGAGCAAGCACTTAACCATGGTGGGAGGAGCACTAGGCGGCTGCTATTGCAACTGGTGGTACAATACACGGATTGGAACATATCTATTACAAACACGGATAATATTACGTTATGGAGCAAGCACTTAACCATGGTGGGAGGAGCACTAGGCGGCTGCTATTGCAATTGGTGGTACAATACACGGATTGGAACATATCCGTTACAAACACGGATAATATTACATTAATATTTACTATTAACAAATAAATTTGGTCCAAAAAATTAATCAATCAATCATTTGACCGAATCCGTAGCCGTAGCCGAAGCCGAGCGACGATGGCGCGAGGCTTGCCTTCTTCCTAACTCTTTAAGAGCTACATGAAGTGCATTTGTATATAAACCCACCAAACTCATTTTCTTCTACCAATGAGGGACAATGTCTCATTAAAAGGAGAGAGAAACTTAAAATTTTACTCAAAATTTTAATTTCCCTCCATTTCCCATTCACCCTCTTTTTAATACCTTTCTATATTAAAAAGAAACTCGACATTACTTGAATTGTAGTAGATTCTAAAAATGAATATTACTTAAAAATAGACAGTGAGAGCAAGCTCAGAATCACATCAATGTAATAAAAGTCAAAACCAAACAACTGTAATAGTGCAACGAATTAAAAGCAGCACCAAATCAGAACAGATAACAAAATTATGAATCACTTTCAGAACCCTATATAGAGGAAATCAAATATTTAATTTATGGCATTAAAAAGAAGAAAGCGAATGGGTAATTGTCTTACCTCATATGCTTTTACTTCTGCAACTTATCTCCAAAACAACTTTGAAGCCTTTAAGTGCTAAAGCATTCCCAGCATACTCGTAAACTATAGCTGCATAGATTATCACCATGACTTTATAATTTATCTTTATTTTTTCCTGTTCAATGCACAAACAAAATCGGGGTTATTTTAATCAAAAGGCGCATCAATATAACCAGTTCTAAATCATAGGTCCAAAAAATTAAATTTAGACATATCCAGTTGTTACACTTTTTATTTTAGCTGAAATGGAATTCCAGGGAAGGTGTGCAATTCAATAGCAAGCTAGGGACATACTGCTAATAGTTTAGGGGAATAAACAGCATGTGAGATGCATATATTTATCAAAAGCACTGCTTGTTTATGCTCTATGTTTCATTGTTTAACAATTGGACTCATTGTCAGTGCAAGCCACATGGGACTGCAATCAGTCCTAACAACAGCATCCTCCAAATTGTTTCACTTTCTCTATAAAATGCAGGAAAGTTTCTTTAGACATCCCCTCCCTCTATCTATGCCATATACCCCATCCTCATTCTCCAAGTGTGAAAGTTTGGAAGAGGTTAACAAAAAAAACCATCATCTAACAAGGGGTGAATGAAGAGATGCAACGGGATATGGTAGTCTTTCAGCAGAGCCAAAAGAAGAATTTTTTATTTTACAAACTTCTTCAACAAAGGAAACAATAAGTTCAGGCTAAAAGTTAAAATCCAAATTAGAAGAAAACAATGGTTTAATGGCTGTGAAGGCACACCTGTACATTTTTCCTAACATTTGAATCCTCGGAAGGTCCAGCTGCAGAAAGTCTTTGAAATTTCTTTTCTGATCTTTTGAGAAGACCAGTTATTTCATGGGTAAGAGCCTCAATACGACGCTGATCTTCCTTACCATCTCCAAATGATGGCATTAACGCTTTAGCATGAGCTTTGGCTAGCTCAGCCATCTTTGTTCGCACCCGTTACACATTACCCATGATTTCTTCTGACACATCCACCCACGCTGGCGGTAGACCTACTGTAACTGGACCATTACTGCAGCAGGGAAACAGCATGAGATCCAGAGTAGGGGGAACTATTAAGGACATCCATATAATCTAGGAAATATATACTCGCTCAAAAAGATGTAGGAAGTATATAAAGAGAAAAGATATGAAAATTTAAGAAAGCTGCTATAGGAAACAGTTCAAAGGAGATTTAAATGAGAAGAATTTCTTTTCAAAGTTTATAATAAGACAAATGACAAGGCTTCATCAAAAGTTTATAGTAATACATTTCGATTAAAGATTTCTTAACATTAAAGTCACGTGAACAAAACAGGTGCTACACCACCTTTTTCTAGTATTAAACTGCAGCTTGTTAATAGACTGATGTTACCAGAGGGATGGAAAAAAAATTACCACAAGAGCAGAATTTGTAAAAAGTCTAAGAGTGACATAAGCATGACCAGGTGAATAAATCAATTTAATATCTACTGACTTATATTCATTGGTGGTGCAGAGAAGGTGTTGTATTTAAGATCAAAAGCAGTTAACCATCTTTTAGGAAAAAGAAGTACAATACTTATAAAATGGAGGATAGACCACTGTCCAATACCAATGTAAAATGACATCTAAGGAATACATGATCGACGATTCATTGTTTTGGTTCATAGGAATATATATTTTAGGTTCTGTTTTTTCTTTTAGGTTTTTGAGCACATATTTTAAGAACTCTTAGAGATACATTTTACTTTTGAAATCTAACCTGCGGTATTAGCAGCAAAAGTATCTTTTTGAAGTAGCATAACCAAAGTGGAAATGGTATCTGTATGCAACTATATGTAAGGACTAAGGATAACATCATTTAAATAGATTGCTTATTAACTCACATAGCGTGAGAATATGAAAATGAAATTTAACTTGGGATATTGATGTTAATCAAACCTGCTAATTTCAAAGAAAACTTAATGATTACCATCATAAACAATTATTTATTTTTTGTAGTTAATTTGAAATTGCTCAGGGATTAGAATGGCGCAATTTTACTTTATAATATATCAAGTATAAGTAGTGAATGAAAGAAAAAAATGAAAACTAAGTAATTGCTATCAGCAAACAGCCAGTTGAGTGGATAACTATCTTACTTAAGCAATACTTGAGCAATTCTTGTTATTCAAATTCTTTCTTAGTTGAAGTTACTATATTGGTTGTTTTCTTTCTTTTATGAATGTTACAGCTCCTAATTCTTTGGTAACAGACCGGCCTTATTTATAGTCGATGTTATTGCCCATATGTATTAAGTCAACCATTCAACTACACTCAACTATTCAACTATACGACTATTGTGATTACGAGAGAAAGGAGAGGTGGCCCTTTTTATACCATCCGATAGTTGAAACCAACATAAGCAATAGGAAATAAGTAGTACTGAAAAAATCATCTATATTTAGAAACCGCACCAAATTCATCATCTATTATGAAATTAGACTTTCGAATATTTGGAATTATTTAACCTGTTATCTTGGATAAAACTGGTGTAGAATTCCAACCAAGTTAAATCTGTTGAATCCACAAAGTTGCATACATTCCACAATCAGAAACCCAAAGAAGCATGCAGCATAATCCTAATTAAACGGAGAGGAGGGTAATGCTTGGAGAAGAAGATGTGGGAAAATTAAAAAAGGAGCATCAGAAGAGAACTAAAGAAGATAAGCGAAGAACTCCAAAATCTGGACCACAGAATCTAACCAGATGAAGATACTCTTAAAAAAGGAGTCTAAGGAAAATGAAATCTTACCATTATCTATTACTTTATCGTATCTCCTTCCAATCACACTGCAGATTTTAACAGACAACACCATTAAATTGCAAAATTAAAAAGCCTGAAGAGAACCCTAAAGAAGCGTGGGAAGAAAAAAAAGATGGAGAAAAAAGAGAAGAAGCAATGGACAAAAATTGATAAACAAGACCTATAGACAGAATAGGCAGCAAGAACATAATCACCGAAGAAACAGTTCTCTGAAGTACGAAAAACGAAGAAGAAAGAAGAGTCAGTAACACGTGGAGTGATAAGCAGTAAACACGTAGACGTAGGTATAGAGCCACGTCGGTATAGAGATATATATCAGTGTATAGGTTTGTATTTAAAGGACACGTTTTATTTGATTTTGTTAAAGGTCCCAAAATGCCCTTAAACAAAGATTAAAAGACATGTAAGCAGCCATGTCGAAATTCCTTCTCTTCTATAATATAGATAGAGATAGATAAGATATATATATAATCCAAATTTAACAAATAATTATTAATATATCGATGTACTTTTATTTACCAAATCTTCATTGCATGCTTTATTTGAGTATTTAATTGGTATTCTCAATATAATGTGTAGTATGTCATGATTACTGTTGAATCATGTTATATTTTGTTTGAGCATGTTGTGTGGCAATACTATTTTCTTGGTAAATTGTGTAATAAATAATGGTAAAATTTATTTGAATATGTTAAATGGTATTTCCAATAATTTAGGGTATACTACATTACCATGATTGCTATTGATTATGGTATATTTTATTTGAGCATGTTAAATGGTATTCCTACTATTCTTGGTATACGATGCGTAGGTATACCATGATTACTATTAAATCATGGAATTCTTAATATTATTGGTATATTACGTTTTGGCATAACATAATTACTTTTGAATCATGATAAACTTTATTTAATTATGTTAAATGGTATTCTCAATATTTTTGGTACACTACATAATTGATTATTGATTGTGTAGAAAGTATACCAATATATTAAGACTCAATTATTTATTTTAAAAAAATAAATAAAAATAAAAATGAAAGAAAGTGATAACAATTTTTGGCGGAAGAATTTTGCAGAAAATAACAGAAAAAATTAATGAAAAATAATAATAAAAAAGAAAAAAAAGTGACAAAATATTTTGGATGGAGAGATTTTAATGGAAAGAATAGAATTAAGAAAAACAAAAAATACATCAAAAAATAAAAAATCAAGATAAAAAATAAAGTAAAAAAGTGAGTTACTATTAGAAAGACTAACAAAATATAACAAAATAAAAAGGGAAAATAACTACAAAAAGAATAAGAAAAAAATGAATAATAGTGCATAGTTTTATTACAAAGAAAAAACAACCAAAGTAAAAAAAAAAGTCAAAAAAACATGGAAAAAATAAAGATAATAAGGAAAATGACCTTTGGTGAAGCCTGGGCATAGAAAAGGAGGGACAGCGTGATCTTAGAATATTCAAAAGGGATATATTTTGCCTTTTGCGAGGACGGTACATATTACGTTAGGGTTTACTAACGTGCGCCCAAGCGGACATGACGAGGAAGAAGAAGCAACCAGGTCTGGCGCCGGTCTTGCCAAAAGCTCCGGTGCTGGAAACTAGGCAGATAACACCAGAATTAGGCATTCTCCGTACCTTAGCACCGATTCAATTACGTCACTAGCTCCCAGGAATGGGGAGTGCTCCTACAGTGTTACAAGCAGGACCTCCACCGGAAATTGTAGAAACTCCGCCGGAACTTGATGTAGGAGCTACGAATGCGGCGAGGAAATTGACTTTCTCTACAACATCTAGTGGAATTAAACCTACGATGGCTGAAGTTGTTAGAGGAACCAGAGAGCAACACATGGGATTGAAGCTAAATTACTTTCCTCCGGTTCTGAAAGATGGAGTGAAGGTAGTTAAGCTAAACCCCCAGGAGATAGCTGAACAGAATCAGAAGTGGAGTCTAGCGTTAACTGGGTATGTGATTGGTGGGAACCCTATGTCACCCCCCCGAACTTGGGGAGGTGTGGGTGGCACTCGATGCCGTAATCGCCCGAGCGAACCACTTTGTAACTCATTCATTCCTTTTATAACTATCATGGGTCAATATGGCCACAACTCGTAATGTACAGTTATAAGTGGGCAAATATTTTATCAATGAACCATCGTTCATAAAACATGAATACATATGGGTCGTCAAGGCCTCTGACATACTGTACATAATAAACCTGTGTCTACAAAGCCTCTGAGATTATTATATTTGACATAAAATGGGACAGGGTACCGACCTATCCATAAGTCTGTAGCAAAACTCTGACACGATGACTTATAGACTCGGCTGCACTCCAAATGAGGTGGAGTCTTACCGATCCTTCGCGGAATGCTAGCATCGTTTACTATGAGGGCTCGTCAAACTGATTGTTTATACCTGCAGGCATGAATGCAGCGTCCCCAACAAAAGGATGTCAGTACGAATAATGTACCGAGTATGTAAGGCGGAACTGAAATATAATAGTAAGTCAATATTAATTAAGGACATGGAAGAAACATGGATTAAAGGACTCAACCTGTAAGTCTAGATAGCTCTGGACATGAAATACTTGTAGCGTCATGCATATGTGTATGAATGTCATGTCGTGCATAGGTACATGTGTTCATAATATCATCAAGCCTGTGAAGGCATCCCATCATATCATCTCGGCCACTGTGGGCAAAATCATCAACATATACCAGCTGATCAGGTGGTAATGCGTATATAACGTCGTAACCTTTTCTCATATCCCATATACATATATATACATATATACGCGTATATAACGCCGTCTGAGTCGTGGGTAAATGCACATGTATAAATGAATGCAATACATAATGAAGTAAGACAATATGCTCTCTTGGAATGTTATGAGACACATGAATAGACAATATGGTAGTAGGACATATGGGAAATTAGGAACATATTTAGACATGCTTGAATATCACTTTATAGAAATTAATAATGTAGATATCCTTAACTTCTAGAGTAGAGTTACTTATGAAATAGCATTACGTTTACGTATCATTACTTGGGTCATGCCAAAAAGAAGGAAGGATTAACCTTAACATACTGATTCCTTGGGTGATAAACCGCTTGCAAAGTCCTCATCATTCTGTGACTGTCACCCATTGTGCCTGATATGAGATAAGCAAATCTAGGTGGTTCACTTTTCGCAAAGCCATGATTGAAATGACTGGAAATCGGATTCCACAAAATATCCATCCGATTCTGATGGCCTAGCAAAAGAAGAAACCATATCCAATTGCATTTGATCACTTCCATATGATGATGGATATAACCCAAAAATAGTTGATGTGAACAGAGTAATAGACACAAGCAAGCTCACAAAGAATGGTATTTTCCAATATCTGTCGTCAAATACCCTTCCCGCGTGAGAATTTAAATTTTTATCATTAAATACTCTTCCTGAATAAGAATTGGCATATTTCCTCATGCTCAATAATTGCTTCCACAAAATATTTCAAGGGAAAAAGAAGCCAAATTTCATGAGTTGGAAGCAAAAAGATTCTAAAGACTTAAGCTTTTCCCTTTGATCTTCTCAAAGAAGAAGAAAAGAATGGAACTTTAGCATCAAAGTGAAAAGGATGATATGAGGGCTATTAGTAGAAATGGAGGTCAAATTCTGTAGAAAGCACTGAAGCTCAAAAGCTTCCATATTTCCACCGAATAAAAAGTAAAATTCTTGGTTTTAAGTTTTACTATCCAAAGCAAACTCATTCACAATGACCATTACAAGTAAAACCAACCAACCAATAAAAGGAATATTAAAAATGAAAGGACAAAAAAAGTGAAACAACAATGTACGACTTGACTGTGGAGTATAGAAAAAGGGGTAAATAAAACGTATGATAATAAATTCAAACCTAAAAATCAGATATCCAACGAGCAATAAACAGATTTCCCAGCTCACCCTATTTCTCCTAAACCTTAGATCTAATAACCATTTGAGACAAGTTAGTTCAAGAAATTAACTTTGTGTCTATCTCAAAATAAAGAGGGTTCCAAGAACCTGAACAGAACATAAATTAAATAGGTGGCGATCTAACCAATAATCAACTAATTCACCTAATTCTCTAAGNGTGGGGTGGGGGAGAAATTTTAATCTTTATCCAACTTATTAGTTAATTAGTAATGTTTTGTTATCGGTAATTAACTCATTACCCGCATAATTAAGAATTGTCTCAAATTACTTAAAATACTACTTACTTTTAACACACTTTATACACTTCATTATCATGGTCATGTGGTATCATACAAAATAAATACATACACTATTATTTTATTAAAAGATTCATGTAAAAATACATATATTTTCTCAACTTCTAATTTTCCTAATTTCATATAAAGTGTAAAAAATTTCGTACGCGTAATTCTTAAAATGGTAGAAAGATAACCTTCTTTTCTTGTGAGAAAATACATTATGTCTTTACAATAAAGAAAATATCCTTTATAAACTGTCCTCTTATTATGTGTATAATTTAAAACGTGTTCGAAAGTAGTAATATTAATAACTATATAAAATAATATCTTTCAAATCATTTTTTTTCTTTACAATAAATGTTTCACTCTAATACCATAATACTATATATATATAACGGTATCAAGGTTGTTAAACTTACGGGGTGTAACACCCTACCTTCAAGGAAATGCTCAAATTTGTGTATGGAGTGTGGAATTTTGTGAGTACACCTTAGGTATTTCTCCGTAACAATGGGTATTTCATCTTCAAGTTTGAGAATGAGAAAGATAAAGCAGCAATTCTTCAACAAGGGCCATACACGTTCAATTATAGGACTTTTATTCTGAAACAGTGGGATCCAGAGTTCCAAATGCACAAGGAATCTACTCAAATTGCCCCGATGTGGGTTATGTTTTCAAATCTGCCAATCCAATTTTGGGCTCCTGGCAATTTGGGTAGAATAGCAAGCTGTCTTAGAAATCCTATATGCGCAGATAAACTAACTGCTCAAGGACAAAGAATTGCTTATGCTAGGATATTGATAGAGATGGATATATCCCAGCCTTTGCCAGATTCACTTTCTCTTGAACTACCTGACGGGAAATACTACTCACAGTCCATTGAGTATGAATGAAAGCCTGTGTACTGTCAAAATTGCTTAAAAGTTGGACATATCACAGGGAATTGCAAGGAGAGACCAGCAGAATATAAACAGCCTCAATAGAATATCAAAAAGAAACACAAGAAGCTGGAATGGAAAGCTAAGACTATGCCTAATCAGACAGGTGATAATCAGAACAATGTGCAACCAACTGAGCAGGGTACTAGCAAAGAGCAGCCTAAGAATGAGCAAGCAACTAAAGATGATGGGCAACAACAGAGGAAACAGAATGATAGGGGAAAGAGAGTCATACAAGAAACTACAGACAAAAATCAAGGGATTGATGAACTGAAGTTGATGCTTAGAAGAAATCAATTCAGTGCTGTGAGATACACCCAGAGGTTACCACTAGCAATGTGGTAAGGGACACAAATCCAACCAAGCAACCCCCATGATATTTGGATCATGGAATATTTGAGGGATAAATAAGCCCTGTAAGCAGAAGGAATTCAAATCCTTTCTGCTTATGAATAAAGTGGCTCTCATGGGCTGCCTAAAAATAAAAATTAAGGCTAGAAGAGCAGAGAATATACAAAAGAAGTTAGGGGTAGAGTGGCAGGTTCACTGTGATTATGTAGGCTACCCAAATGGAAGAATATGGGTCTGCTGGAAACCGCAACTAGTGGAAGTTGATGTATAGATTTTAGGACCTCAAATTGTACAATACAAAATGAAGGATAAGGGCTCTCAATTTGCATTTTTTGCAACATTTGTATATGGATACAACTCCATAGAAGGAAGGAAAGACATCTGGAGACAAGTGAGATCAATTAACAGCCTAATGGTAGACTCTTGGATCATTCTTGGGGACTTCAATACAATATTATTTGTTACTGACCGAATCAATGGAGCACTAGTTCAACATATTAAAACACGGGATTTCCAAGATTGTGTGGATGAAGTTGGGCTAGGTTAGATTAAAAGAAAGGGATGGCAGTACTCTTGGTGCAATAAAAGGAATTCCGGAGATAGAATTTTATAGCTTGATAGATTGGGCATTTGGCAATGCTCAATGGTAGCAGTATAGAAGCTCACTATCTAAATCCTAGTTGCTCATACCACTCCCCTATGCTACTAACTACTACTATTATCAAAAAAAAAACTTCCAAAATCATTCAGACTTGTCAATGTCCTGCTGAAGCAATCAAAGAAGTGGTGAAATTTATATGGAAAACCAAGGTGGATGGTTATGCTATGTATGGAGTTTGCAGGAAGTTAAAGCAAATAGAACAAGTTATAAAGCAGATGAATCAAGAAATGAATAAACTGGATCAAAAAATTGAGGCCCTGCAAGCAAAGCTTAAAGAAACTCAAGATGCAATGGCAGCAGATCTTTACAATGCACAACTGATTATAGATGAGAAAGAGATATTGCTGGAAGTGGAGAAATAGGCTATAATCCATGAGAGAGTCCTTAGACAGAAATCCAGAGCTGTTTGGATCACACATGGCAATTCAAACTCTAAGTTTTTCTATGCTCAACTCAAAGAAAGGCATGTCAGGAACAATATTGCAACTATATGCAATGAGCAGGTAGTACAGCTAATAGATCCAAAGCAGGTACAACAGGAATTTATAGGTTTTTTTCAAAACCTGATGGGAAACAGAGCACAAGAATTACCCTGCTTAGACACTCACATTGCCAAAGATGTCACTTGTTTACAGAGAGATCAACAAATGATGCTGATCCAACCTATTACAAAAGGAGATGTTCAATAGGCACTGAAAGAGCTACCAAACGATAAGGCCCCAGGGGTGGATGGATTTAAAACAGAGTTATTTAAAGAATATTGGAGTGTAATAGGGGAGGAAGTAAGCATAGTTGTCCTACAATTCTTTGAATCTGGGAAAATGTTGAAAGAAGCAAACTGCACCACTTTTACCCTAGTGCCAAAAGTAACCAATCCTACTTATGTGAAGAAATATAGACTCATAGCTTGTTGTATAACTTTGTATAAGTTGATAGCAAGAATTCTCACTGCCAGACTCAAATTAGTAGTAAACAAAATTGTTGGAGCCTCACAATCAGCATTCATAGCAGGAAGAAGTATCCTAGACAATGCCATTATTTCATATGAGCTGGTAAAAGGTTATACGCAGAAGGGAATTTCTCCTAGGTCCATTATTAAAGTTGATATCAGAAAGGTATATGACTCAATCGAATGGACTTTCTTAGAGTTTTCTTGGTAGAATTTGGCTTTCCTGGAAAATTTGTTGGGTGGATTATGGAGTGTGTGACTACTGTGAGTTATGCCATCTTAATCAATGGTGGAATTACTCCAAAGTTTGTGGCAAGGAAAGGACTGAGACAGGGTGACCCCATGTCCCCATATCTATTTGTATTAATCATGGAGTATCTTAACAGGTCCTTAAAACAGTTGCAGTATAACCCGGACTTCAATTACCACCCCAGATACAGTAGATTGAAGTTAGTGCATATATATTTTGTTGATGACTTGCTCATGTGCTACAGGGCTGATAGAACTTCCATACAACTAATGCTTCAAGATTTCAATCACTTCTCTAATGTGTCTGGATTGAAGGCAAATTTGGACAAGAGTTCATTACACATTGTTGGGATTCCCCAAGAACTGAAGAAGCAGATTTTGAATGAAATGCAGTTTGCATAAGGAGAATTGCCATTCAAATAACTGGGAGTTCCACTCTTATCCAAGAAGATTATTGTTCAACAATGTATGCCAATTATGGAGAAAATAATATCAAGGATTAGGTGTTGGACTACTAAATTCTTATCTTATAGTGGAAGAGTACAACTGATTAAGAGTGTTCTATTTGAAATGCAAACATATTGGGCTCAGATCTTTGTACTGCCAAAGAAAGTTATACAACTAATCACAAGCATATGCAGAACCTTCTTATGGACTGGGAGCTGTGAAGCATCTAGGAAAGCACTAATCTCATGGGAATCATTATGTATGACAAGGGCTGCAACGGGTCTGAAGTTAATAGACTTCAACTTGTGGAATAGAGCAACTATCTGCAAGCTGTTGTGGGCAGTAACATCAAGGAAAGAATCTCTATGGGTGCAATGAATACATGTATACTATATAAAGAACAAGGATCTAGCTACTATGAAGACCCCATCACAAGCTTGTTGGCTTGTAAGGAAAATCATTGATGCAAGAAGCTGGTTTAAAGACAAGAACTACAAGGTGGAATTGAAAAAATGCAGCAGTAGTGATGGTTTCAGCATTAAGAAAGCTTATCTATCATTCCAACCACAATATCCGAAGGTTCCTTGGAAAAATACCACTATAGGGGCAAGGCAAATACCTAGACACCAATTCATCTTATGATTAACCATTAGACAAAGACTTGCAACTGTTGACAGATTAGAGAAATGGGGCATAAATGTTCCAAAGGATTGTGTACTATATTCCATGGGAGTCAAAGAAACTTTAACTCATTTGTTGTTTGAATGCAACTATGCAAGACATATATGGACCTCCTCAGTGAGGTGGATGGGTGAAAATAGACTACCTAAGGCATGGAATGAGGAATGCACTGGATGTCCAAGAGGTATCAAGGAATTTGAGCTAGAGCACAGGTGTTGGCATGGTTATTTGCTGCAATAGTCTACCACATATGGAGTGAATGGAATGCCAGAAGATTTCAGAATGAAAGGAAGGAAAGTCATCATAGACTTAGAGAAATTAGTCTCCAACTACACATTAGAGGACAGAATTACAAGAATTGGAGGAAGATATTAGATGGACTAAATTATTATCCTAGCTAAGGGTAGATAGTTTGGCTGTAAATAGGGGTGTACATAGGTCGGGTTAGTTCGGATTTTACAATTACCAAACCAAACCAATTGTGTCGGGTTATTAAATCTAAAGACCAAACCAAACTAA